GCTGTTGGGTGTTCTGCAGCCTTTCTGGTCTCTGCTCTGCTGTAGCTATACTGCTCCCAGTACTTGAGGCAGTACTTTAAAGCAAGCCTAAAGCTGTAGCCAAACCTTTCAATATAAAGTATACTCTTGCAGAGAATGTTGTATATAAATGCTTTCAGGTTTATTTTCTTCTTTGCAGATATAAAAGCTCAAAGATCATCAGTGGAAAGACTGCATGACTCTGATATTTCCAAGGTCATAAAATGCATGAAACGTGCCCTGATAGCAAAGTACCCCAGGACATGATACGGAGCTGGATGGGATGCAAAGTTCTTTTGGCTGTTTCTCTGCTATGCCCCAAGCTGTTTATCTGACATGCTGCTGTGTATGTTTCCAGTTCCAGCAGCTAGTGGGAGATCAGTTCCTGAAATTCTAATTAACATTTAGTATTAAACCAGTATCAGCTCTGCAGAAAAAAAGTATTAATCTTGTCAAAACCAGACGTCCTCTTCTTTGCCCATTACTAGACTGCTTAAATTCCTTTCAAAAGACGCTTCCTCCACCCTCAACCCCTCCTTACCTGGAATTTCTGAGTTTGCAGATAGGCTTGCAAATTCAGCATGTTTTTGAAGGTCATTTTTTATGCGCAGAAATGATACCTCCATAGAATCTGCATTCATAAAATACTCAGCTACAAGCTGGTTAATACTACTCGCCCAATAAAACATTTTTAAATAAGAAAAATAAAATCACTAAAAGAATATTTTTTTTAAAGTAGACTTCATCAACATATAGGCTGCTAGTGAACTTGAAATCAAACAATGGCCTTTTAGAACATATATCTTATATACATAACTTACAGAATGTAGTTAGTCATCTATTTCATGGGGGGTTTGCTCATAGTCATGTTCAGGAGTTGCTAAACTTCACAAGCTTCTGAACAGAAGATACCAAATCAAATAATAACAAAGCCCAGCTATTGCAACATATTCCAAAAATTACAGTTGCAGTATTTGACCACATCTAATCACCTGACTATTCAACTGTGTAGAGATAAACACAAGATATTTTATAGGTATGCAATTACAGGGAAAATGAAAACTACATTGTACTCTCTTACTATCCAAACAGGGTATCCAAAACTATATTTTAACTTTCTTCCTAATATTAGTATAGTTTGTGAGGAAAATATTAAAAATAATATGCATTCACATTCCTTTCATCCTCAGTGTGCTTTGCAAGTTAAAAGGATGATTATTTCACTCATTACGTGAAACAGGTGACTATCATACGCTCTGGCAAATTAGTGTGACTGTACAAAGAGTGTGTTCTGCATGGCAAAATGTTAGTTGAGATTACTGTGCCTCTTGTACACCGTTTCTATCTGTTAAGCTGCTGGCCAGAAGCTCACAAACTGATGTTCCTAGAGATATTAAAACTGAAGGGGTAAAGGGTTTATTTGCTAAAGACTTGCACTGGTGATTAATCATTAATGTCCAATCCAATTAAGCTTTCAAAAATACCGTGTGCCGGTCAGAACTCCAAATGTAAGAAAAGGAGTTTCATCACTCTCTGTGTGTGAGAGGGGGTGTGTGTGTGTTTGTGCACGCGCAAGAAAGGACAGAGCGTAAACAGTGTTTAGTAACCTTTAAGTATTTCATTGAGGTTCTATTCTCTGGCAAATGGCTTCAAGAATAAATTTATTTTACTTCATTTCATGATAATACCTGCAGAGAGATAGTTCTCTGTGTCCGGCCTGACAGCTGTAAAGACAATGTACGTGAAAAACACTTAATGGTTTAATTTATCAGCCCTGTAGTGGCAGATTACAGAAAGGTACTGAACAGAATCTAAAGCTTCTGTTGAACAAAGTACCAAACATTAAATTTGACATTGTGGTATGCTACTGAGAGGAAAAGGTCCAGTTGAATCCTCAGCAAGTTTGCTGATGACACCAAACTGGGAGGTGTGGTGGATACACCAGAAGGCTGTGCTGCCATTCAGCGTGACCTGGACAGGCTGGAAAGTTGGGCAGAGAGGAACCTGATGAGGTTCAACAAGGGCAAATGCAGGGTCCTGCACCTGGGGAGGAACAACCCCATGCATCAGTGCAGGCTTGGGGCGGACCTGCTGGAGAGCAGCTCTGTGGAGAGGGACCTGGGTGTCCTGGTGGACAACAGGTTAACCATGAGCCAGCAGTGTGCCCTGGCTGCCAAGAAGGCCAATGGCATCCTGGGGTGCATTAGAAGGAGTGTGGCCACCAGGTCAAGGGAGCTTCTCCTTCCCCTCTACACTGCCCTAGTGAGGCCTCATCTGGAGTACTCTGTCCAGTTCTGGGCTCCCCAGTTCAAGAAAGATGAGGAGCTACTGGAGAGAGTCCAGCAGAGGGC